GCCAATGATGTGAAGTCACTTCACATCATTGTGCAAGGCTGCGTCATCGCCTGTGGCAGTATCCATGAGGGACGACATAAATCCTTTTCTTTCCCCTGTACCTACCTCGTATTCCAGCTACAAACATCCTACCAAACACATACTTGGAGCATCGCCTTCTCTTCCCTCTTAAATCTACTCTCCTCCTACTTGCTTGCTACCACCATCGCGACAATGGGTATCGGTGGTGCTGTTTTGAAGTTTGGCTCTACAGCGCTGTATGCGCTTGAGTTCTGCTGTGCTGCGGTTATCCTCGGTATTTACAGTTACTTCCTCGCTGTACAGGCGGATCGCGATGTCAACATTCCGGTTTGGCAACAGGCTGTCACTGGTCTTGCTGGCGCGACTGTTTTGTACACAATCTTTGCTGTCTTGTTGACTTGCTGCCTTGGCGGAAAGGTAAGAACATGCTCCATCGATATATAAAAATAGACACTAACGATATCTCTAGAAAATCTTTGCTTTCCTCGGCATACTACTCGACATCCTTTGCTGCGGTGCCATGATCGCCGTCGCCGTACTGACCCGTGACGGCGCATCCAGCTGCTCTGGCCGTGTCAACACACCTCTCGGCGACGGACCTGCCAACTCCAAGCAGGGCTTCGGCTCCAACGGCCAAGGCAACCAGATCACCTACGCCGCCTCTCTCGGCACGACCTGCAAGCTCAACACCGCCTGCTTCGCCGTCGCCATCATCGGCGCTTTCCTCTTCCTGCTCAGCGCTCTCGTCCAGGTCTTCCTTATGCGCCACCACAAGAAGGAGAAGGCCTTTGGTCCTGGTCCTAACAACGGCTACACCAAGGGTTCCGGCATGAAGTTCTGGCAGCGCCGCAAGGCCAACCGCACCATGGGACACCGCGATCCCGAAGTCGGTACCATCCCTGCTACCACTGCTGGCGGTCTTGCTGCCCCTACCGCGGCCCACGACTACCGTCCCAGCCACGACACTGCCTACACTGGCTCCACCGTCGCTGCTCCTCACTCTGGTTTCGCTACCGACAAGCCTGTTACTGGTGGATACCACACCGCCCCCCACGTCGCTCCTACTGCCAACTACGCCAACACTAGCAACACTGCTACTTACGGCCAAGCCACCAACTACTAGACGCAATCATCCCATATCATCTATGAGACTGAGATTGGCGATGCTCTAGATTGTGCCTAGTCCTTCATGCTTTCAGGCATGGGAACTTTTCCTTTTTTGTACTCTATCACGACGTTTACGCATTATACCACACGAGGGAAGAGAGGAAGTCGAACATTGAAGAAGAAAGACACTGTATGATAAAGCTGATACGAAACTTAATACCTAATGTCAATACCGAAGAAATATAAATGATCTTAAACATACTTGTCCCAGCCAATCGTGTGTTGAAGTGACTTCAAACTTAACATGCAAAAATCCGACGTGATTTTGGACCAGCGTCGTGATACATTCATAATCCTTTTTCCATCGTTGCGCACATGCGAGAATCAACATCAAAGCCGCATTCGATATATATTGTACTAGGTGTGCAAAGTGTAAGATAGACAAGGGATAAAGGCTGTGGACGGCTGTGGATCAGCGGGAGCCAGTGAGCGTGGTGGCTGAATAATCCAACAAACGTCATACTTCGTTTGGCCCGAGTTCCCGAAACTTTCATTCACGAACCTATACATATCGCCATTGCGACAACACAAGCCTATCCACAATATACCCAACCTTGAACTACACGAAAGATGGCCTCAAGCACACTTCCACGTTCTGCTATGCGCAGTCTAACCCGAGCGACGCCCTCTCTACGATCAGCACCTCGGCGCATTGCCACGAGATGTCTACACCAACAATCGTCGCCTATCACAGCCTCAAGACTGCAACATAGACCGACAGCACAGCCCTGGAGCCAAAGGGTAGCGGCACCTTCAGCGACAGTCGCGCGACGAACCATGTTCATCCAAACCGAGCCCACACCAAACGCCGATGTAGGCATTTCTCCGTTCCAGCGACATAGCCATACTAACAATCCCAGGCCCTAAAGTTCAACCCCAACCAGCGCGTCCTCCCAGAAAACATCTCCTCCCCGTTCCTCGAATACCTCAACCCCCGCTCTACCCTCGCCCCGCCACATCCATCCCCTCTCGCCGCCCAACTCCTCAACATTGACGGCGTAACCAGCGTCTTCTTCGGCGCCGACTACATCACCGTTACAAAGGACTCGGCCACCCCCTGGTCGCACGTCAAGCCCGAGGTCTTCGCCCTCATCAACGAATACATGACCTCGGGCCAACCCATCGTCAACACCGTCGCCGCAAAAGCTGGTGAGCAAGGCCAAGGCGGTCAAGAAGCCGACAGTCTTGCCTACGACGAAAACGACGATGAAGTCATTGGCATGATCAAAGAACTCCTCGACACGCGCGTCCGCCCCGCTATCCAAGAAGACGGTGGTGACATTGAATTCCGCGGCTTCAACGACGGCCAGGTTCTGCTCAAGCTGAGGGGTGCGTGCCGTACCTGCGATTCTAGTACCGTGACACTCAAGAATGGCATCGAGAGCATGTTGATGCATTATATCGAGGAGGTCAAGGGCGTGCAACAGGTGCTGGATCAGGAGGAGGAGATTGCTATGAAGGAGTTTGCCAAGTTTGAGGAGAAGCTGAGGCAGCAGAAGGGGCCTGATGCGACGGCGGGGACGGTTGGCAAGGGCAGTTTGGATTATGTGGAGTAGATGGGGCCATTGATTATGTGATACCAATGCATTCATTCTGCAACTGAAAAAGCTGTGTGTGTAGTAAGAAACTATATCATGTCGTGAGTTCCAACCGTGTGTACATGACATGCAGCATGATCAAGCTCAAGAACAGAATGACGGGGTATTCAGTGGTAGTATTTTAGCATACGAGAGTAGCGCTGAGCCGTTGAGCAAGTTCAAATATGCTACAAGAACAAACGATTGAGGAAAAGAGTCGTACTAATGCCAATATTCAACAATAACGAGGTAGGGTATCCTGAACGTGCCAATGCTGCTGCGTGGAGGAAACAATAAAGCAATGAGAGAAAAACAAAAAACAACAACAACGCCCCTTGTATGCTTTCATATGCTCCCACACATGGCTTTCCACAATCGTCATATATCCAAATGCAAGTCATCCAACCTCCTTCTTTTCGTCTCTTTCATATGTTAAATCGTGAACCTCCATGATAAAAAAGATTCCCATGCCTGGAAACCGGTCATAAATCGTCAGACACACACGTCTTCTCCAGTCAGGCCGGCCGTAAAACACACACAATCGTCATATCGTTTCCAGAGTCATCACGAGCCGTCTTCCAGCAGCAGATGCGAAACCGCATCTAATGCTTCGCCCATGGAAGCCCAAAAGCTGCGTCTCGGAGGAGGCGAGCGGATGATGTGAATGACCTTCCTCTTTGACAATGATGATGATGATGATGTTGATGGCAACGACAACGACGACGGCACATCATCCGCAACTAGCGTGTCAACAGTACTGCGCAGTAACTTTGAGTACTCCTCGTGAATCTCGTGGGACAAATCTTGTACTTCCTCCTCGACTAGCGTCATACAACTGTCTAGCATGGATTCTTTCTTCGAGTCCTGCTCCTTCTTCTCCTTTTTCTCCTCCTCCTCTTTCTCACCATCTTCGTCTTGTGAAACTTGATTCCCAGCCTCGAAATCCGAGAAGACGGACTTTACAAGATCATCTTGGTGGTAGTAGTGCTGGCTCTTGTCCAAGTCGTCGCGCAGACTCTGGCGAACCAGTTTCATCTGCTTGCGCAAATCGTTGATGACGTCGAGTTGAATGCGATTGAGCGTCTTGACCTCGTCCATGCGCGTTTTGAGGTCGTAAATATACTTTTGCACACCCGCGATGTAGTTGCCTACTTGCGAAACATAAGCCTCGTGCTGCAGCGTTTGGGCTTCATGGAGCGTCGCTTTCTCACCCTCTGCTTGTGTGATGCCGAGCCCCTGACCAACGTCTCGAGAGGAGGACGAGGACGAGGAAGAAGACTCCTTGTCGTGCGTCTCGTTGGCGTGTGCGCTGGGCGTGGAGAGATGGGCTGTCATGGCTTCGAATTGTCCGACTATGTATTCTAATTGGTCTTCGTCGGGCTGGTGTGTTTGGATGAGGTTCTCAAAGTGCGCGATACACGACGAGAGGGCGTTCTGCACGGGCGACGACGTTCCTTCTGATACGTCGGCCCAGGGCGTTGGAGAGCCGGGGCGCTCGGTGTGGTTGCGACGCAGTACGCGCGAGCTGTCGGGCGTATAGGGATAGCGCAGTTCGCCTTTGGACGGTGGAGGCGATGCATCGTCGTAGTATAGCCGCGTAGGTGTGTATGGCGCTGGTTCTGTAAGTCGGGAGTTGGGTTTCGGTCGTGGGCCTGTCGTGGGTGTGTTCAGTCCGAAACTATCTGTGACCCAGGAAGGCTGGTCGGGTATGCGTTTGGCCTCTTTCAGCCAGCGCTGCTCTGTTGCGGTAGGATATTGTGGAGGAGAGGTACCGTAGATATTGAAGTAATCTGGTCGCGGGCTGGATTCGTCCTCGATCTCAGGCGGCGTCCATGGCCGTTCCAGGGTCCGGGGAATGTCCCTTGTGCCCTCGTAGCCCGACCGAAACATGCTCTTCTGTTCTTCCAGAAGGATGCGCGCACAACCCGGGAGCTCTCGGGCTATATTCGCGGCTTGGAGAGCGATGCGCTGGTGTTCAAGAAGCCGGAAACCTGCGTGGATGCAGGAGACGGGAGGAGGCTGGGTTCACCGCTTGTGACGTGCGTGCATGGCCTCGGTCTGCAGCATGGGTAGTGCGCCAAGGACTTGCTATCGATAACATTTTGTGGCCCCTCCCATTGGCTCGTGAATCATTAATTCTGGCTTCAATACATTGCGACGACTCTGTGACACTCGTTCTGCCTCCTCTCTGTCCATAAAGCAGTGCTGTAGAGATACGCTCCATACTCCGCAAACATGGCGCCACAGGTATGTCCAGAATCACACCATCAGCCGACCACAGAACTGAGCGCATGACCATTTAGCTGGGCGTTCAGCCATCGCTTGACACCATTCGAGAGGTATTGGCTGCAGCAGTCAAGTCGCCCAACCCACCAAACCTCGTACCCGTATTCTCCTCGATTCCCGCCGAGTTCTTGACCGCCTCCAGCATATACCTGAAGATATCCGCAAAGTGAGTGTGACTCATTCCAGCGCAAGTGGCGTGGGAGGGGTTGTGTCGAGATGATGAGCTGGTTGCGCGCATGCTGACCCTGGGCTCAGATCAGAGTCAAAACTCTCGTTCCTTTTCGAGAGCGCTGCAACAACCGAGACCATAGGCCGGTACAGCTTCATTGGCGCAGGTCGGTACTTGGAAACAAACTTCCGGCAAACACAGTTAACAAGCTTTTAGACCCTCGCAAAGTCATCAAGACCGGTCCCGGCCATGGCGAAGAGACCGACCCACTACCCCTCCTCGAGAAGGAGCTTGCGAAGAGCCGCGTCGCGACCGTACCCTCAATACAACTACCGCCCATGACCGGCGGTGCTGTCGGATATGTTGGCTATGACTGCGTCAAATATTTCGAGCCCAAGACAAGGAGGAATGATATGAAGGACGTGTTGGGCGTACCGGAGAGCTTCTTCATGCTCTACGATACACTGGTGGCTCTGGACCATTTCGCACAGGTTGTAAAGGTCATAACATACGTCAAGGTACCAGACAGCATGGACGACTTGGAACAAGCGTACGAGGAAGCGAAGAGTACGCTGAAGAAATACGTGACAGTACTCAAGGGCAAGGACATTCCGCTACCAGAACAAGGGCCTATTCAGCTCGGTAACCAATACACGTCCAACATTGGACAGGACGGGTATGAGAACCATGTCAAGGAACTGAAGAAGCACATCAGCGTTGGCGACATCATCCAGGCGGTACCATCTCAACGGTTTGCAAGACCGACATCATTGCATCCTTTCAACGTATACCGGAACCTGCGAAACGTCAACCCCTCGCCGTACCTATTCTATGTCGATTGTGACGATTTCCAAATAGTGGGGGCAAGTCCCGAGCTGCTGGTAAAAGAGGAGCAGGGTCGCATCATCACTCATCCCATTGCTGGCACCGTCAAGCGGGGCAAGACACTGCAAGAAGACGCAGCGCTCGCGGAAGAATTGTCCAACTCTCTCAAGGATCGGGCCGAACATGTAGGTTCCCTGACGACAAGATGCATGCAGCGACGTTGAAAAGCTTACAATGCCTTCGTAGGTCATGTTGGTCGACTTGGCTCGCAATGACGTCAATCGCGTGTGCGACCCACTTTCGACACGAGTTGACAAGCTAATGGTAGTCCAAAAGGTGAGCAGACTGCCGTCCGAACCGTGATTACCGTGGATCGTGCGATGAGCTACCGTGCGATGATATCAAACCCAAGAGCTATGCTAATTGTTGTCGACGAAACCAGTTTTCACACGTGCAGCACCTGGTCTCGGAGGTCTCAGGGGTGTTGCGACCTGGCAAGACGCGATTCGACGCGTTCCGCTCAATCTTCCCCGCCGGTAGGTAGCGCGGTGGAAAAAAAGTTGGAAGTGTGGCTAACCATGTGTAGGAACGGTGAGCGGTGCGCCCAAGGTGCGCGCCATGGAGCTCATTGCCGAGCTTGAGCGGGAAAAGCGCGGTGTGTATGCTGGCGCGGTAGGATACTTTGGCTACGGCTCTATTGATGGCGACAAGGAGATTGAAGGTGCCATGGACGTGAGTAGTCTTGCCTTGTTCGAGGTTGACAGGAGGCTGATGCCCAGCAGACATGCATTGCGCTAAGAACCATGCTTGTCAAAGACGGCATCGCGTATCTCCAAGCAGGGGTGGGTTTGACGAATTCCCTGCTTTAGTGTGCGGTGCACGAGCTAATGATTGGCTACAGGGCGGCATAGTTTTTGATTCGGACCCTTACGACGAGTGGATGGAGACGATCAATAAGTTAGGTGAGTTTATTTTTCCTTTTGGTCGTCTGCTCCGAGTCGACGCACAGAGCTGACCGCTGTTTGGTAGGCGCGAACACGCACTGCATCACTTCAGCTGAAGAGAAGCATCTGGCCGAGCAGCAGGACAGCGCAGACGATGGCGAAAAGGACGCGTCGACGCTCGAGGGCGATGCAAAGACGCGCATTTCTCTTGCGGCTTGATTGTCAGACTGCTGCGCCATGCGCCACAATTGATATCTGCCGTAGGGTGGTTGGTGATTGGCAGCGATTGGTACGTCTTGACCCGGTGAAAGCGATCTATGGGCCTGGATCTCACAAGCTCCCCTGCCACTCGTGGGGAAGCGAGATTCATGGGTTCGCGGTAGAGTTATGAAACTGAAATGAGAGGGCGGGTATGCATTACTGGCGGCAGACGCTACCACGACGTCACGAGCGAGTGGTGGTGCTTGAATACAAACAAGATTTGATTAATTTTGCAGCCCGTCACACCAGCGCAAGGGGACATGTAGACGGCTTGATGCTGTGTGAAAAGCGTGCCTGTGTGCGCCGGTGAGGAGCCATGACGAGTGTGACGGAGCAGATACCACCGTCTGTGCGATTTGCAACGACAAACTGGTTCGACATGTGAGTTGTACATGCAGGTTCGGATATCGGCCGCTTGGGCGTGGTTGGCATGGCTACATCATACGGTAGGAGCGCCCGGGGCATTGGCCAATGGGCGCGCAGGGTGCAGGTCGTGCTTTCCGCGTTTCCTTGCTCTGGCGTCGATCGTGGAGTCGCTGTGCCTGGGCTTGGCGGCCCACCCCTGCACACGACTAGACCCGCTACTGACGCTCCAACCCGTCACCAGCCCGTTGCAGCCTCCTGTTTGCGCGCGACTTCACTCTTTACCAGCCACGGACCAGCCCCAACTGTTTGTGTCCCCTACGATATAAACCCACTCCTCTTCCTCTCTCTTCCCACCTCATCACTCAGCATCCTCAACCTCAGCAATCAACTCACTCACCTTGACTCCAGTCCCACTTCGATACCTAGTATCCTACTCCAATATCCATCTCTTCCACACAAACACTCCTCCCACCTACAGTCAAGATGAAGTCCTACGCTGTCCTCGCTGCCACCTTTGCTGGTGTTGCTCTGTCCCAGGACATCCCCATGCCCAGCGGCGACTGCGCCGTAAGTAGTCCTCTTTATCATCTATTACTTTGTACTAGTACTAACCTTCGCTTAGAACCTCTGCATTAACAACATGGCCCGCATTGCCCAGACTGAGTTCTCCTGCGCCTCCGACGACATTGGCTGCTTCTGCACTCAGTCCAACTGGGCTTACGGTATCCGCGACTGCTCCCGCCAGGCTTGCGATGCTGACCAGTCGGCCCAAGCCGTCTCATGGGCTTACGCTCGCTGCGCTGGTGTCGCTGCCACTGCCACTGGCTCTGGCGCTCCTGCTGCTCTTCCCATCTTGACCTCCGCCGTTGCTAGTGCCACTGCTGTCGCCCCCGGCTCCATGGTCACCTCGGTCATTACATCTGTCGTCTCCAGCGCCGCATCTGGTGCCGAGAGCGTTACCTCTTCCATCGGATCTGCCGCTTCCTCCGCTCTTGCGTCTGGCGAGTCTGCCATCAGCTCTGCCCTTGAGTCTGCCAGCTCTGCCCTCGCCTCTGCCAGCGCCAGCATCTCCTCTGAGCTTGCCTCTGCCACCGACTCTGCTGGCAACGCCATCTCTTCTGCCACTGACTCTGCTGGCTCCGCCATCGCTTCCGCTACCGACTCTGCTGGCAGCGCCATCTCCTCTGCTACCGACGCCGCTGGCAGCGCTGCTTCCTCTGCTGGTAGCGCCGCTTCCTCCGTCGCTCAGGGTGCCGCTCCCATGGTCACTGGCATTCCCTTCGCTGCTGGTGCCGGTATTGCCGCCTGGCTCTTGCTCTAAGCGTCTTGCCCCACTGACAGGCTGTTCTCATGTGAGGCCTGCTTCATTGCTAGCCTCTGGAGACACCTCGATCCAACTCAAGATCCTTGCCTGACGGAGTAATGTGTATAATGATGGGCGGTAATGCAAGGTGGGCTTTGGATATCATGATGGATGGGCAGCGCTTCTCTTCTTTCCTTAACGAACACTCACGCGAAAGGCATGATGATAACGACGGATTCGTTATGCCTGGGACTGTTTTCTTCACGACTGCGACTTGATACCCCGAATATGGGAACTGGGACGGGCCCCTTAGCATTGGCCTCTGTATATAGTAAATGAATGATAATACACTCACGATATCATCTCTTGTTCCATCAGTGACTATACATCTCTTACTCTTTGTCTGCTCCTGCCCTTGCTGCTATGATGCCGTTTGCGCGATCGCGGACATTCGAGCAGCAGCCACGATTAGGCTGCCCTGAACCGACCTTGTGCAACGCTACAGTGCGCCACGAACGTGAGGGGTCATGCAAGTCACACAATGGAGGAAGCTAGCAATGATGAATCATCATGGCTGTAGGTAATCGTAGTGGAGGTTAACTAAGTGGTGGAATGTAAAGCAGAAGACATGAAGTCAACTTAACCTCTCCTCCTCCACTTTTATTATCCTTTTTTTTTCTTGGATTACATTAATCAGTCAGCACTGCACAGCCCCAGCCTCGTTTTGAGGACCGCGGCCCCATACCTATGATGGTGGTTTGTGCGTAAACTTGCGTCTTTTGTTCAAGTGCTGCTGATGCCAGTCGGACTGACTGCATTGCATTACAGATCGTGTATATGTGTGTGTGTGTGTCTGACATAAAAAGGGGATCAGGGTTGGTTTGGTTTGGTGTGGTGCGGTGCGGTGCAGATCATCAAGGGTCCGAGGTAGGTAAGAGAGAGAGTGTGTGTGTGGAGAAGGAAGCACTTGGACCATGTGTTCGCGCATGCATGCCATGCGATTACGACATGTTTGTGCAGAAGTTTGTTGAGGAGAGGGGAAAAAAGGGAAGGGAACGATGTCAGTGCGTTTGTGGAGACGGACGGGAGTAGTGAGATGGGTAGGCTGGTAGGCTGGTAACGGTAGTGGTAAGGATGATGGGGGAGGGGGTGCTGTGAGGTGGTGGCTGAGGTGGAAGGGGGGGTTCCGGTGGCTTCCGGGGGGAATGACACCATTGTCATCATTTACACATCGACACGTTGTCTCTGACACAGGCTCAATGGACACATTTTGTAGTATTATTTTAGATTGTAGATAGGCTGACTAAATCAACTGATCTTCATTGCTCATAGCGTACGGCCTACAAAGTTGCTCTTCACTTTCAGCCTTGTCCGGATATTACCTGCAGCATTAGTAACTTACTCTCATTGGTCGAGGCATGTGAACGTACTTCTTATTATCTTTCCTTGTCCCTCCCGCTGCTTTCGAATGCCAATTTACAGGACAACCACAAGAATGGCACGTCCCATTGACACCACCCTGCACAAACTTGGCGCAATTGCAACTCGAAGTGTCGGCACCACTACCACTGGAGCACGCCATTTTGGAAAGAGCGGTGCGAGGCTGAACGTAAGAACTAAGACTATGCGGAAGACTGTAATAGTTGAAGGGATGAAAGGCGAGTGAATGACGGTCTAGAGAATAGATGATAGTATCTAACAACCACGTTTTATATCCAGATAGCGAGTATGAGGCTCTGCCTTCATCCTCATCTTCACCGATGACTGCTGTATAAAGATCAAATCATAGCCTGACACACTTGACGTGTGATTTTCTGTACAACCATAACCTATCATCTATGTGCATCCAAGCCCAGGCAGTCATATGCTCGCCGCAAACGGCGATTTGTAATCTTTGGTATTAACTAGGGTAGACGAGAAGTTCCCAAAGGAGCCTGATGCATGATCTTACATGCAAAGCTGGGAAGGGCTGCAAGAACACAGTCGAACATGAATGAGTTTTGTTCGAGTGGATTGCAGTGAAGCAGAAGACACCTAGGTAGATTTATGGTAGGCGCGCACGGATAGAACCTTGAGGGATTCACGCTCTTGATCCTACTCCGCGGCTCCATGTCTGATGATTTGTGCGAATTTGCGTATGCAGGTGCTTACGCGTGGTGGATCGCGGGTATCAGGGAGTCGTAGATCTCATGGGGTTGGGTAGTGGGGACGGGAGCGCGGATCAGGCGTTCAGTTATGCTATGATTATGCATTGCGAGCAAGGGTAACCCGTGTCATTGAATTTATGGAAACAACCGGTGAAAGCAACAGGAAGGGGCAGGCTGTTAAGTAGTGGTTGGGATGACGAGGTTGTAGTGGCAGTTCGTGACTGGGGCTGAGCAAGGTTCCATTGGCTTCCTGACAACAACTTATCCACACCTGCATGTTCTCATGTGTTGCGCACGATGAGCCAGAAAAAGAGAGTGTGTGTGCATCTCTTCTTTTCTGGGGAGGCTTACAAAAGGTGGAGCCGGTCTTACTTCTGCTTCATGTTTCGGACAACCATGATAAATCTGTGGATACGCAAGTATCACAGCTGCTGCGGAGCAGTACATTTCCCCTTCAATACTGAATGCCCGCTTGAACGTGCAGTCGCTCGCTGTTTGTACAGTCATTGTATGATGTTGTTCATTTTCGCTATCTCGGCCTCGGCCTCGACGCCGCTTGTTGAAGCCTGGCGACTGCCTTGTTCTACGTTTTGGTCGACTCCAAAAATCTTGGTATTACACTGATTGCGGTATATCCGATCTTGAAGAACTTTGCACTCGCGATCATGCCATCAAATATCTTAAGCCTTTGTCTTCAAAGACCGAAGTTTAGTCTCGGTTGCATCGCGAACTTTCGCCTTCTCACCACAAGAATCCTTCCAGTGACCAGCAGGAAGGTAGCGAATCTTCTGTAGCAACCCCTGTAGCATTTACCATGGAGGTGAAGAAGAAAAGTGCCCCCTCGTCCGCATCCCCAGCAACTGCTCTTGTCAAAGCTAATCACGACAGTAGAAGAGCTTGAAGCACCATCTTAAAACAACACAGACCCGGACCTAGAGGCTCTTGAAAACATCCTCCTACCAACCACTACACGTATATTCTTCGTCGATAGCAAAGGCACTACATAGCGAAAGCTCAGTACTGAGCCTTCAACGACATTATCCTCTCTATCCGGTTCTTTCATGTTTGAACGGCCAGATCCTTCTGCATTTGCTGAACTGAAGCCATCAGTGTTTGATAAGACGAAACGAGGCGATGCAAATTAGGAAAAACTCACTCTCACAACGATCTTGACGACGAAGGAGAATTTGTGAGGCAAAGTGAGTTGAAGCGGCGGTTCTGGACAATAATATGAATATGTCACGAGGCTTGTTATTATTCCTTTGGGACGCGCAGTTGCCTTGCTAAATTTCTGAGTTATGCCAGGAGATCAAGGCACAGGATTAAACTTTAAAGATAAACACCCTTGCGCTATCCATGCGAAGGTGCCGATGGACGGGCGTGATGACATTCGGCGCTTTGATGACCGGGGCTGTAATTACAATGTTGGCCGAGTTATCTTACATCCGGAGCATGTTGTCAGAGTGACAAAGATACCGAGAAGGAGAAGCTCGAGAGCCAAGGTTCCGTGTTGCCGTAGCTGTTTCCAACATGCAAGCCGACATCATCGCTAGGCGACTAATGTAAAGCTGCTATGTTCTGGTTACAAACGTCCTCGGGCGTGATTTCATCGCATGATTGCTCCACAAAATGGGCAGTTGTTCCGATGTCTAGGATGGTCCTGGCAGATGCGCATGAATTCTCCGTATTGAGATGCCAAATTTAGCATTTGCGGGTGCAGATACCCACCGACGGGTAGCTACTACGGATGAAGTCAGAACAGCCGGCGGGTAATCACGTGGGCTCCTCGAAACACCTACCTTCTAAACGACGTGTTTGATGGCTTTCCAAGCTTCAAGGTAATTTCTTTTGCATAGAAACTCTCAATCGGCATGTACTGAGCTACTAGACCCTGATACTGACACCATTACTCTACACGGCTGGAGGTGCAGCGAAGGGTCGACGTAGGCTACCTATGCATCGCTGCTCCACGATACGAGATAATGTGGCTCGCTCGATATATTTACGAGATAATTATCGGGGTCTATGGCCTATGATGGTCTGTGAGGGACGTGTGCGATGTGGAATGACCGCAATGCTTAGAGAAAGGAGGCGACCAGAAAACTCGCTCGCGCCGGTTGGTTCGAAAGCTCTTTCCCCACAAAAATCTGCAAGGATCGACTACACGAAAACTGTCTTCAGCGTCACTGCTCGTAACTGTTCCCAGTCTGACGTCCGTTCAGCGATTCACTGTCCGTGGAGCTAATCTCCAATGTAACATCGTATAGATATGTCGAAAGCACAAGCATTCGCCGCACTGGCGCCCGAAATAGACGAAAGCTTGTCCCTGTGCTTGTCAACGACAGACGTAGACCGACATGCATATATAAACGTTGAGAGTCTTCCATCAAGTCTTCACTACCCAGCATCCATCGGTCTCTTCCTACCAAAACTTGCTCATTCCACCCACCTTCGTTACCAATCTACAAACCAATCATGAAGTTCGCCATCGCTGCTCTTTTCGCCGGCATTGCGGCCGCCGCACCTACCGCTTCACCTGACGTCCACGGTGACCCCTACGAGACCGTCACCATCTCCGGCTTCTCCTACGCCTTTCCTTACAAGGGCGAACCACAGATGAACTTCTACATCCACTCTCAGCGCGTTGATAACGTCCACTGCGCTGCTGTCAACTTCGAGGTTGGTGGTGTCTACAGCTGTGACGACCCTTCATACACATTCCGAGTCCTAGAGGAGACGGGCCATAAACTCAGATTGGCTCACGTTCTCAACGGGTGAGTTTCCTGGACGAGTATCGAGTTGGGAGGACGTGTGCTGACATTGATATAGACCATCCATGGTGGGCGACTTCTTTATCCATATGTATGGACCTATCCCTACTGCCCTCTCACAGACCGGCACTTCCACAGCCGACTTGGACAAGGAGGGAACCGCTTAGGAGAGCAGTGGATTACATAGTAAGGGATCTTGCTGTTAGTAAGACCCGCAACTGAAATGATAATGTGTTTTCGAATCATCCAGATGGTGCAAATGATGATCCATGCGATGTTTGTGCTGTGAGAAGTAGAAGTGCAGCCGAGATGAATGTACGTGCTGCTTTGTTGCAACATTCTTTACCTGGGCCAGCGGAACATGTCATCGTGATCCCCATCGCCCTACCACAGTCGGCTGGTTGTTTTGGCGGAGATCGAAACACGGAAAGACAATTTCATCGAGCTATGAAGAGGAGATAATAGTTGAAGAAGACGAAGACGGAGATATGCTAGAGATGCATGCAGAGAAAACGCTGCAGGGGTTGACGGCGAGAGATCAATCAGATCCGAGAGAGCTAAATCCGACATAACACTCCAGATACGCACCAAACAGAGCTCATGAGGTCATGAGCTCCTGAGCTATTACGAGAAAAGTCGCTTCTGGCGAGCTCATAAGCTCGACTTTGGAGACGAGGTTAGAGAACTATTGAATGGTGAAACTGAATAGACACCGCCAGTGCAAGCGCATCACCAGGATCCTAAATCTGCTATTACAATAACGAAAGTGACGGCTGTCGCGTCATCGAATGCTGAATCGCAAAGGAGAGAAATGTAATGGCTGGAAACGAAAGAGGAAAGAATACCAAAGGAAGTGCTTGCCATTCAAAACCGTAGGAATATGCCATGGCAATGAGAGACAATAACATCCTTATCTGTAATGGTTGTTGACGGTGTGGTAGAAGTTCTCGACGTTAGCTTGACCTACTTGAGTACCACCGCCCAGATTGTTGTGTTGCAAGTTTCCTCCGAACTGCATTCGTGGCTGGCCGATGTCTCTGTTAATATCCTCCAAAGGTAGTTCTTGAGAAGATTCTTCTGATGATATCTTGCGGCCCTTGTCACGGTGTCTCTTCCTCCAGAGCCACCAAATCCCTGCGCATAGAGATAAGAACACTATCGAGGTGACGATACCAATGATAGCGGAGGTCTTCTTAGAAAGCCTCTGCCCTGACAGCGTTTTGTGATTGAAATTATCAAAAGTTTCTTTGACCTCCGGCGAGGCCCACGTCGTCGGCAATAGATCTCTATTCTCATCAATACTAAGCGCAAAGATAAATGTAAGCTATTTGTACTGACTTGTTCTCGTATATCCTTCTGACAAGTTCTGGTGCAGCGTAAGGTGAAGCGGATGCGTCATAGCTATCCTTCAGTACAAGGTTGGTCGTGTCAAGGACCCCAAGACCCTGCGACCACTCGTCCGTTGAGTTCCACAGTGGAACTGACTCAGGGTTAGCCCCGCCGGTACAGATGGCTTGGTTGTTTCCAGCAGACTGGCACTGCATCCCGACCCGGCGCGGGTAGTTTGTGAAGGATGTCTTGGTCCATCTGAAAGCCGGAAGAGACAGAATGTAGATCGTATCACTCTCGGATGACTGGTTGAAGTGGCCATAGGCGAATCTTTTCATCATTTAGCATTGTAAGCAAACACATGTAAGTCGTGCCAATGCTTACATCTCAACGGTTTCATTTGCCTCGTCAATAGCCATGAAGAATGCAAATGTTCCAGGATCCGCTCCCAAGCCAGGAGGAATATCCCCTTTAAGAGGTTGATTATATGATGTGTTTTTGCGCTTATCAAAGATCCATAGGTTACTCCAGCCGGCTCCATATTCGACCTCCGTAGCTTTTGGATACGCTAATCCTCCGAAGGAGACTAACGTGCCATCTGGTCCGAATGGAATGTTGAACATAGGTCCTGGCTTGAAAGGCTTCTCGTTAAGACCAGTGAAGCGGGATGCAAAGAACTGTCCATCATTCGTCGAATTGGTGAGCTCTTTCGAGTCAAATTCGAAACTGACCAATCCTGCGACGCCGAAATCTTGGGTGAAGTTGCTGATTCCGAACGTTGTCCAGTGCGATATGAGTCCTCCCATGTAGTAAGCCCTTTGGCCGTCGTATGAATATGCACCACAGGCGATCTGTTGGAAATTTGGAGGCATCGGCTTTGCCGCGTTCTTTCCAAGTAATTTCAACCAGGATCTAGACGACTTGGAGTTTGACTGGGGAAGTGCCCAGATCTCTGGCAAACGATCTTCATAGAATGAGTTGGCCTGAGTGTCTTTGACGCGACCATCAGCGGAAAGCTTTCCGCCAAGAGCGTAGACTGTCTGCTCTTCGTCCACAACTAATGCCTGGCATAACAGCCCTGGAGCTTCAGATACTATCGAAGGGGCGTCAAGGGTTCGATTGTTCCAGTCTTTGTTTAAAGGAATCAGGAAGCTATCATGTTCTACCGTATATGTGTAAGCGGCTTTCGGGCCGTTGTCAGTGGGGTTACTTACGGTAGATGAGGTTGTGGTCGGCATCTGATTTTAGGCCTCCGTGAACGATGAGTTCATCACCTACTCGTGCGACTATATTGATTAGTACGCACCGTACAACCTGTTAGATAGTGAGAGATACTTGTGTGATATATACGTCGCCTCTGTTGGCCTTGCGCATGTACGAGGAAAGCGAAAGACAGCAGGAGCTGAACATGGACGACAGCCCCCGACCTGCATAACTTATGAGAACAGCGAAAAAAGAAAAACATTGATATACGGGAAAAGCGACGACAGACGAAGTCGACAATGTTACTCAGGAGCTTTTGAGGCGACTTGCATAGATTCTAGAGGACTATGCAAGTGCATGGATGGTCGCTATCATCCAGCCCCCAACATCTTAAGTTCAGCCCCTAAAATAACGATCCGTATGCAGCCTACCTGCCATGGGGGCTCTTTGGCCACACCAATACCGCCTCTTCTTAATCTCGTATTCTTTGGCGCTTGGGTCCAAGCTCACGTTCCGTGTAAGAACAGCGATCGATATGTAGTAAAACCAGAGCTGTGCTGCGAGGAAAACTGTGTTTTGTATCGCCGAGCTCTAACAACGTGAACTAAAAGACAGCAATCAACCTGTTTGGTGCTAATCTAGACAATGTAGCTAGAGTAGGTTTCCGTGCAAGCCATGTTTTTCCCGCTAACTAAGACAAGATGAACAGTGGAGCAATCCCTGCTGTGAACGCCACATGACGCCACTTGTACGTTGTGTCACATTGGCTGCACCGCAGGCTGAAAAAAGCAAACCAAACTGAAATGACGGCCGGATCTAGTTTCGACAAGACAGCGTGTGGCAGTGAAGCTTGTGAGTGTATTTGACTCACGAACTCTGCAGTCAACGTAGCGATGTGGTAGATCTTCCTCCAATAACAACTCATCACCAACATTGTCAGTACTATGAGTACAATGCAGCCTGGTACGTGCTGAGCTCGTGTGTCCGCTCAGCCGCCGACCGGTCAAACATAGACAAGGATACGAAACTGCCAATCCTTGGGGCTGATGCCTCATGATCCCCCTTGGCCTATGATGAACCGGTGAGCTCGATTTGCCCAAACGCGTTGACGCTGTGATACACCACTCACGCCTCAATAAGTGTGATATCGAGCGGCCAAACAAACACAGCGGCGCTTATTAGAAAGATCAGCGCAGTGAAATAGCCTGGGCTGTGGCTCTATCCAGCCCGGTCTGAGTACACCTCTAGGCCTCCGAACATGCGGAACCTTTTCAAACGTTTCGTGCCACACTCAACCCCAACCAAAATCATGACAAGCAACAGTAGTACCAAAGACGATCAACAGATTCAAAAGATTTCAGATGAGTATTTGACGCCTATCGTCAAAATTTCCGAAAACGCTGAAGATGGATATTTTCCAGAGAATGTCACGAAACTCTGTCGCATATTCGTAGAATTCCGGGCAATTTTTGAAAGCATTGAAAGCAAGGAAATTCGTCTGTCTACCACCAACGACCAACTGAGGGCGAAAATGGACCGCTATGCAAGTCCGATTCTCGAGTACCTCAAGAACTACCAAGCGGGTCAAGCTTTGCCTCGAAATCAACTCGAAGAGTCAGCGAATTATTTCTGTCAGTTCGCCCAAAACGACATCAAAGCCACTTTTGAGGAGACCAAACGCTTGCGCCAGGCGTACGAAGGTCTGATGAGAGGCCTCAATGCGGAGCAGAGGCCCACGAATGCACAACATAATTATTCCATGGGTACCGGCGCTCAGTTCATCGCGAGTAACCAAAACAACAATTCTGGTTCCGGCTTTCAGTTTAATGGTACTGTGAGTAATTTCCACAACAACGGGCAGGATGGAAGTCGAAGTACCTAAAGAAGGACGATTCTGAATGGCGTGGGAAAATTGTTTGGGCCATTTTATTGGTGTTTCGAAAATGGGTATGTATAGCCCTCCAGGACCTTGAAGTGCATATTGAATAACAGGATACAGTTTTGGTGTATGATAATCGGCGTTTGAGCTCTGCTTTTGATTTGATATATGTGTATCATGGTGTGTTTGGCCTTGCTAGTATCATCTGAAACTGATTGGTCCTGCGAAACTGCCGGAGAGTTGTGTGCCAGATCCTGTATTGTTGTACTGTGTGCCGCCATAGGTAGTGTATAAATTGTTCTTCTTTGAAGAAGAACTCGTCGAATGGTCGTAAGGATGATCAGATTCATCTTCTTCCCGTTCTCTAATTGCCTTATGCAGTCTCTTAAACGCTTGCTTACGTCCTTCACCGTATATCAGTGGCATGTGAACATTGCATATCCCTAAGAGCGAATACGCATAATCTTCTTCGCGTTTGGCTTTACGATTACGAGCCCAGTCCATGCGTTGTTTGGCATCGAATTCTGAGATGACGCGTGGGCGACGAAGGACCCTTGCAGGAATTCCAGTGACATCAATGATCTCCTCATAGAGCTGTTGTTTATTTCCTAGCCATTGATGGTTCGAGGAGAAGAACTCAACAGATTCCGGCGCTAGGAGCTCCTGGAGTGTCCAACAACGTGTAAACCATCTGCTCTTCCCAAAGTCTTGTTTCCATCGATCTCGGCCTTGCAGAGCGTTCTTATTATCGTTCTGGTTCTCTAGTTCAACGTCCGATAGATACACATAGCATTTATTAGCTCTTTGGTACCATCGAAACATCGAGTTGATTGCTTCTGAGAGCTCGGCGCTGCTATGCTTGTTGATGCAGCATGTGTCGACCCAAAAGTATTGTAGTCCATCCTTCAAAGCTTGATTTCCGCAGAATAACAGCTTATTATAACCTTTTTTGTTTCTGGCCGTGTCGTTTTGTAGGTCCTGGTACGTAACCTCGTCGTCGCTATGCCCCCAGGTATGTGACAGGATTGCGTATTCTGGAACTTCATCATCGAAGCGCTCGACTAGCTTGAAAGAGTTCGCATCGCATTTCTGCAGGAGATGCATAGAAGTAGCTTGGCGCAACGCGATCAGTGTAGGTAGACACAGGGAGGAATTTTGAGGCTGGGTGTAGCGAGAGCCTTGTCACCAACATTTGCACGGATGATGAGGAGGGCGGAGGATGAGAAAGAGAGGCGCGCATGTCGACCAGGCTGAATGCTGATGACCGAGAGGCGGCGCTACCTACGTGGCGTCATTCGCGTGGAACGGACAGATGCCTCCGGTGAGCGTCGAGGTGGCACGGAGGAGGGGCAAAAGAAAAGCACAACGTCTGGACGAACGGTTGCCAGTTCTCAGTTGACCCTCGCCCACTTGACCTTTTACTGAGCTCTTCCAAGCTTGCACCTCTACAGCGATGCACCATGATGTGATCCGATAAAACTCCCATTACAAGCTTCGCGGCGCAAATCTCGCCATAGATATAACGATCAACTATACGCGTCCACAGCAAGTATTGAGATTCTGTGATTAGCGCGGCTGGGCAATCTAGACACGAACGCAACTATCATGCGCAAGATATTTTCTCGACAAGGCTGTAAGCAGGCTCAATGGTAGTATAGACAAAAGACCTTTTCTCAAACCCGAAAGATGATGCATAGGGTGTGATGTTAAGATATATGTTGGCTGGGAAGCAAATTCGCAGCTAATCTCTTCACTGCATGATTACTCTGCATGAAAATTAGAGCTGAAGATCCATGCGCGAAATTGTGTCGCATTTGCTATCCGTAAAGTGTAAGCGGTAGCCAGCGGTAACGGTATATGCGATCTAAGCCGCATGGGGACTAACATTGAGATTGGACAGCGTCCAAGGAGGCTGGAAGTTTCTTGTGTTGTCGGGCCAAGCATGCAGACTGTATGTAAGATGCAGCCTTATTTCTATTATCGAGGACCGTAGCCGATGGTGGTGTGAAGCTATAGCTCAAACCATACGCCAGGCTGAGAAGTGGTGGTGGCTCTGGCCCCAATTGCATACGCCTCCCAATATTTCAACGCACGCGATTCGAGATGCACCGCGAAAGTGGGGTCAAAGATCTGGAATCTTACTGACATTGGAAGGTTTCGACAAGGCTGAGCGAAGTTACTCGAGTAAAGTGTTGCAGCTGCGGGATGAAGACAAAGCGTTCGCCCCATCCACGCGTAGTTTGGATTCCATGCTTTCCTTCTATCCATAACATGGTTGGCAAGCGAGCGGCCCACGCAAGCGAGCGGCCCACCCCACCAACTTTCTGCGCCTTGTGAACTCCTCCCTATTATGGCTCCTCCAATTCAACCCCTACTGACCTCTTCTGAGGCTAGTATACACCTTGCAATCTCAGCTATTAATAGAAGCCAAATTCAGTCTGTAAGAGATGCTGCGCAGACATTTGAAGTCCCCCGAACAACGCTCCGACGCCGACGCGCTGGAAAGCCTGCCCGACGCGATTGCCTACCCAACTCAAGGAAGCTCACCCAGTTAGAAGAGGAGGTGATTATCAGCTATATAGTTGATCTAGATCAACGCGGATTTTCGCCTACGTACGCAGCTATAC